AAGGACCTAGGTAGAACTCATTGAGTTCGACATTGGCAGGTGTGAGAAAGTTCGGAGTTATGTATGGACGATTAAGGAGTTTCTGAAAGTCTTCAAAACTAAAGGAGTCGCCAGATTAAGATTGTGAAGTAGCCATTAGGGACGAAATGAAGTTTTTCAGAGTTACGTAGCAGGGAAGCAAAGAGATGAACGGTAAAATTGTGAGAGAGAAGCGCGAAAAAAGTGAGGCGTGATTTAATGGTGCAGTGAAATGGCGTATTTAGGGGTAATAAGGGTTTGCAAAACGTCGCACTTTTTCAAGCTATGGAAGAAAACAATGATTGAAATTCTTGGAAATTTCGAATGTTGCTGGAAACACAAAGTGAATATGACAAAATTTAATAATTGGTATTAATTCTGCCATATTGGGGGGTAATTGTTGACACATAAAAATTCAGCCCAAATCGAACGGCCCAAGGAATGAAGCCCAATTGGAGGATCCTCAAATCAGATAGCCCAAAGAATGAAACTCAATCAGACAATTCAGGATGAATGCCCAAATAGGGAGGCCCATGAACACGGTAACACCATTGCCCAAACTTGCAAGTCGCCCAGAATCTGAGCGAATGGATTGCCCTGCAATCGCCCAGAGCTGCTACTCTATTCTCGCCCAAACCTTCGAGTCACCCAAGGTCCTAGCAAACATGAAGTGTTATGGTTATCAAAAAGCGCAGTTATCAAAACAGTTATTAAGCAGCCCTATCACGTTCCACGATTCAAGGAATTCAATTGAAGACGGTTGAACGACAAAGAGTAATGACAGCAGTTAGAAAAGGCAGTTTCATGACAAGTTGGCCATTACGAGGAAAGTGGGCAATTATAGAACGATCAAGCAGTTTTTAGGCGGTTGATCACAAAGAGATCATCCAGGGAGTATAAAAGGAAGAAAAGACATAGAGCAAAGACCCCGAATCAAAAAACTCTCGAACAGAGAACGTGTAACTTTAAATTTTTTAGTTTAGATTTAAACACTTCTTTCAGTAACTCGTGGGCTTGTGCCTCTTGGAGGCATTCTGTTTTTATTTTTCAATTGTAAAGTCATCGCTAATAAAAACGCCCCTTTTTGGGACTTTGTCTCAAGAGGTTTGTCACTTACACAATCGTCTGATCCTCCTTTTGATTGTTAGCGATTAATCCGCGCGAAACAATGTCATAATTATTTAGTGTCTTTTATTCAATTTGTTTTTATCCAAGGAAGTTAACCAAAAAAGTATACTTTTATCTTAAAAGTGCTAAAATTTTATAATAAATTGTTCATACATCGAACTAATCATAAATTAATACCGCAAATCTCGGGTTGAATTTTGATTAACCCAGTTGATTTTCAAACTTGCTCTGTCCACTTTTTTCACCTGAGCATTTGTCCTTTGGTTTGTTTCCAATAGCTTAAAACTCTCATTTTGTTCCCTACTTTCCAGCTGGTTGGCAGCATTTTGTTTGATAGTCAAAAGACAGCAATCGCTAATCTCTTTAATTATTAAGCGCAATAAAAAACCAATGTAATCCTTATCTATTTTCCTTACGGTTTCAATCAATCAAAATGAAATCAATCCATTTCTCTCCTAAATTGGATTAGATTTCAATACAAATTACACAGAAACAATCTTCTAAACCCAGAGAAAGACAATCGATTAGCTCATGTCAAGAGAGTCGATGGACATCAGTTTCATAAAATTAGTTTTGATCAATTTGGATTAGTTATTTAAGTGGGACCTTTTAATCGAATACCATAGTTCAATGATATTTTATTTTGGAATTAGAATTTCGTAGTAAATTTAATTGTTCGAAACCAATTTTAGGTGAAAAAAAAGTAGGTAAAAAATGAATAGCTTGAATTATTTAATTTGTTGGAAATAGATTTGGGAAAAAATGTTAAGAAATTGAAAAAATTCAAATCCACAATGGCAGTCTTAAAGTCACTTGATAGCCCAAATTTTACAATTGGGTTTACGTCCCAATGTACACCAATAGTCCACTGTCCCCACCGAAGAGAGACGGCATGTCTCCCAATGGCTTTCGGCCGAAGCCCAGATACGCTCTCCACAGGCTGCCTTCTTATAGAAATAAAATTCAGCCCTATTTGATTTAGCTAAAAAATTGCTAAAAATCTAAATCAATGTGAATAATTAATTTTAACTGTCCACAAGGACTAAATACTTATTTGTTTACATAAATTTAATTACCTTCCAAATCTGATTTATCATATTGAGACAAGTGGCATGACAAAAGAATGATTGATGGCGTGGCCGGTGAACCAGAACTCGTGACAAGTCGAAAAGTGTTATATGTTATTACTAACTGTTGTATTTTTCGGACACAACTTTTTAGCAATTGCAAATCGGTTCGTCTAGTTTGTAGAATTTCATTAAAACCATGTCATATTCTCTATACTATATCCCAAAAATTTCATTAAAACCATGTCATATTCTCTATACTATATCCCAAAAATATCATTCTGTACAGTATAAATTCTATTTTTCATAAAGAGAGTTCAAAATGTTATCCGATTTGATATTTCTCGATATATTAAGTGGTGCTATCTTGAAGAGTGGTCTCCGTGTCTTGAAAGATTATTTTAGTTTAACCGTGGACACTGTTTAACCGTATCTTGAAAGATTATTTTAGTTTAACCGTGGACATTTGTACTGGGCAAATTCATATCAAGGAAGAAGAGTTCAATACTTGTCTCAGGTCAATATTCATTATTCTACATATCTGATTGAAGGAAGTTCTCACATATATGGCCTCTTCTCTAATAGTGTTGTAGCTCAGGAAATTGTTTTGGGTTAGAACTTACTACTTAGAGCAGTGCTACAATGCCTTTTTTATGCTATTCCATGGTCTCAGGGGAAACTCGGACTCCTTGTTGCCGCTGGGATTAAGCTTATACCGATAAAGAAATATATGAAACTTACATACAAGCTTGTAGTGGGCAATCTGAACGATCTTGCACAAGAATACGTCGATTCTTTTGCACCATGGGATGGAGATCATTTACTGCAATAAAATTTTTATGCACAAGAAATGATGAAATATATTTTCTGTACAACTTTTATGCAGAATTCAGTTACTGTATTAAAATTTTAATTCTTTCTCAACCCAGGGTAATCCCAGTTCACAATGCCCCATTTAGTGTAGTCAAAAAATTAATAAAAATTCAAGTCAAAGACGACAATTAAATTTTTAAATATTTCATGAGAGCCACAACTCTTATCAATTTTCAATCATATTTCATCATTTTTTAATCAAAATTTACTGAATTTTTTTTCTTTTTTTTTTTTGGCTACATCAAATAAGGGTCATATCTTATCGCAGATCTCCATATTCGTCAATCTAACGATCTTATCAAGATTCACGAGTACCCACAACTACGACTAGATTTTACTCAAGATTGTTGAGCTCATCAAGTACAAATTGGTTGTAAGTAATCCACAATTATAAATTTGGCCTAAGAAGCACATACTTGAACACTGGTCGTGAACATGTGACATATGTTTCAAAAAAAGTAGAATATTATACTTATTTCTTGATATTACTACCGTAACCCTTTCAAAATTAGTGTACATGGTTTTTATCCAAACTTTTCTGTTCAGTTCCTTTTAAGTACATCATCATTTGTAACAAAGCCAATATGAAGGAAAATGAGGGGAAAGATTTTTCTGAGATAGAATTGTCTTGAGCATGCAAAAGCGTTTTCTCTTTAAAGAGATCCAAATATTATACGATTCAAATAATTCAAGAAAAAGATACAAAGAAATACACAATTCATCTCATGACACATCCAATTGAAATGTGCACCGTAGATTTGAATTCAATTGTATGATCAATCAAGTCCATATCTTGGAATAAGTTGTTTGTACAGGTGCTGTACATGTACAACACCCTCACAGCTTGGTGGGGCCCGCACCAATAAAAAAATGACACAAACCCTCCAATGTGAGGGTGCTGTGAACCGAGTTGTGTGCCATGCTGTGCACACAACTCGGTCCCCATAACTTACATAAAAATATGTTCGACATATTTATTACGACCAATATCATGATCTTATTAATTTATCACAAAAGACAGAGCTATTTGAGCCCCTTTTTTCTGTGTAGAATGCATTTTGAAATAAGATATTGATGGGGAATGCATTTTGATTGCGTGTAATACTATTTTATTGAAAAATGTGTGATTAAAAGAAAAATATGGAAAAATATTCGAGCTAATCATTTCGTTTCATAAAAAAATTAAAATACTTTAAATATGATAAAACTTAAATTCGGTTCTGCTTTTTAAGCTTAGCTAAACTAATCATAATTGACAAAAAGATGACGAGTTGACAAAATTGTTTAATCTTATTTGACCAATCAATTATAGTTCTGGAAATGGTGACTGGCTTGCCAAAATTAAGCGTCCTTCCTGCAACGCATTCAAGATTCTTATACTCTTATTTCCTGCAAATTTATTCATGAAATTATTAGTGGAATGCTTAGAGCATAAGCAGATTAGGTGAATAATTAATACGTCGTTTTAAATGTATCCCTATTTTAGAATGATATATTAATAAATATCATTTAATTGTTACCTATACGGCTGACCATAATAATGGAATCACATTTTAATTACACTTGAAATTCTCAATATCTGCTCATTAGAAACTTATGTCCTTTAACTTTTTTTCTCGATGCATTCTTATACGGCTGACCATAATAATGGAATCACATTTTAATTACACTTGAAATTCTCAATATCTGCTCATTAGAAACTTATGTCCTTTAACTTTTTTTCTCGATGCATTCTTATCTTTAACCATTCGTTGATGAGTAAATACTGTCATTGTTAACATTATTGATACGACAAAGTCATTGAGAGGGCATAAAATGAGCAATATTTAATTAAAAAGGAAAAAAAAAAAAAAAGGCTAAAGTGCTATAGAGCATTATTTCCTTCATCCAAAGCATGCAGACATAACATTTTAGAAGTACTCGTCATTCAAAATCAGATGTGTTAATTAACCAAAAGTTGAAAAATAAGAATTCAACAAAGAAAAAAGCTAGAAAGTGATGAACACATTGAGATCTCAATTGGATTACTCAGAATGTATCTGTAACAGCTCATGACTTGTGAGTCCATCAACATTCAACATCAAGTTTCTAATTTTGCATGCTTAAGTTTTCTTCTGGGCGCGTAAGTTTTTCCATTTTCTGATATGAATAAAGAGGCCGGGTTGATGATCATAGTCCTATTTTACAGGTTAAAGCAAGATAAAAGAGAGTACAGAGATTACCTGCAGTTACTGTTGTGGCTCCAGCTCCAAGATTTCAGCCTATGAGAAACTCACAGTCGCTCATCACTGTTTCGCTGCTTTTCTCGTCGGTGGTGGCTTTAATTTCTGCTAAGATTTCTTCCAACAGATACAGTAAATGGCAGACTTTAAGCGGTAAATTCTCTTTTTGTAGATTTTACAGAACTTCTTGGGTTGAAGAATAAAATGTGAAAGAATAACTGGAACGGTAAATTAATTATGGTTCTGAAATTTCTGATTAAATGGTTCCGAAATAAATTGAGATTCTTGAATTTTTGTTTTATTAATAGTTTGATGATGACCTATACTGACATGAAGCAACAAGAAAGATTGATCAGATGCACCTTTTGTTTATTTATTTTTTTGGGGGATTTTTTTTGTATAATTAAGATCTCTTCAAAGCTGATTACAGAAGATATAAGTTTTCTTTTGAATGAAATTGATTAATTTCAAGAACGTGACATTACTTTGCAACTTTTAATTTTTGATTTTTAATTATATGGTGAAGTTGTGATGAATTCTACAGTAAGCTGATGAGGAATTCATATTTTAATTCTATGTGATTGTTGATCTCTGATTCAGATGCTCTGTTGATTTTAATAGTCTGTAAAATTTAGGACTTCCCTGTCCCATTTAAGGAAGCTAGAATCTCAAAATAGATTTTCTTTTGTCGTTATCTGAATTTATAGATCGATAAGAACGAAGAATTTCCTTTTCCTACTTTCTTTTTTGTGATAATCATCAATTTATATCATCATCTATTGGTTTACTTTTGTAGGAAATGCGCCATTAGTAGTGGCCCGTGGTGGATTTTCCGGGCTGCTTCCTGATTCTAGTGAGAATGCTTATCAGTTTGCTGTGTCTACTAGCTTATTGAATTTAATCTCGTGGTGTGACGTACAGCTTACAAAAGATGGAGCTGGAATATGCTTCCCGGATGTCAGGCTCGACATAGCTTCAGACATTGATAGGTTCTTCCCAAACAAGAGTCGCACCTACATTGTTGATGGGGACTCTAAGCAAGGATGGTTTTCTGTGGATTACACCCTCCATGACTTGAAGAATATCAGTTGTAAGTTTATGTAATCGAATGTCATCCATTGTTCATTACCCTGAATATCATTTAATATTTATACTTCTAAAAAGCTGAAAAATGTATTCTATATATGTAATCTGAAGAAGGAAAATCATTAGAATTAGTTTACAATCACTCCCAATTGTAAATGAATTAAATTATTATAGTATTGTTATTCATACCTAGTCTTTCATAAGAGATAAGCAGTGTCTTTGTGGTGGAGCTGACTAGTTTTAGCCAGACTGTCAGGCTCCACATTATATATGATCATCTTTATTCTGAAAAAATTGCTGACAAGGACTGGTGGAATTGGATCACTCCAGAGCTGTTTGAGTTATGATGTTTTTAAATGAATCCTAACTGTACTTGGTATTCTTGACAGTGAAACAGGCCATTTATTCTCGAACTGATGGTTTTGATAAGAATTTACTTCCAATTCTTGAGGTCCGAAAGGTGGCTGAGATCGCCAAACCATCCTCATTATGGTTGAATATTCAGGTCATTCTCAATTCTTTAAATTTTTACTTAGCATTATGATGTATTTCAATGCATATAATTTGTTTTATATCATTATTTCATCTTTTATGGTGTCCTTATCAATCTCATTTTCTTATAAATTATGTTTGCAGCATGATTCTTTCTTCAGTCAACACAATCTGAGTATGAGAAACTTTGTAATATCTGTATCTAGAAGTGTTGTAGTTGATTATATCTCATCACCAGAAGTGAACTTCTTGAGGAGTATCCAGGCACGATTTAGACGATGTTCAACAAAACTCATTTTACAGTTCCTGGGACAGGACGACATTGAGCCTTCAATCAACCAAACATACAGTTCTCTTTTAAAGAACCTTACATTCATCAAAACGTTTGCCTCTGGTATTCTTATACCCAAAAATTACGTATGGCCTGTAGACCACAGTCAATACTTACAGCCTCATACCTCTGTTGTTCTAGATGCTCATGAAGAAGGTCTAGAGGTTTTTGCATCAGGATTTGCAAATGATGCAACTTTTGCTTACAATTACAGTTATGATCCAGTAGCTGAATATATATCCTTTATTGACAATGGCAACTTTTCTGTTGATGGTGTGCTATCTGACTTCCCGAATACTCCATCTGCAGCCATAGGTAAGCTAAATCCAGCAACCTTTTATTTGAACACTCTGGAGATTCAGTTTTTATTCTGCTTTAAATGATCCATGTCGGCAAGTGTATAGAAGCAATCTGATTTTGACGAATCAAAGGATCATCCACAAGAAACGAACAATAACAAAGGACTTTCGTTCATTTTTTTAAGAAAAAAATTCCTTTTACTGGGCATTATGGATTGTTCTCTCTTAGTACCATCATTGCCTAACCTGTTGTTCGTGTTCTCTATTCATTTTACCACTCTACTGGAAATTCCGTCTGTAGATTTTCCCATTTAATAATATTGAAGTTCAAATCAGAAGATGATGTAGCCCTTAAGACAAATAAATGAGAATCCATTAATTGGAATTTGGAAGAAAGCTTTTTATGATTTCCATTTCCTTTTGATATCCAACTTGTAGCTTGATTATTTAATTTATCCAAAGCTATATCATCATTTATGGATAACAAAATTCTGAGCATTTTTTCATTTGAGCTTTCATTTCTTTCCTCTGGGGAACTAGTTTCCTAGTCTTGATTGTCAGCTTCCTTAAAACTTAATCGCTTTTTAATTATAATTATTATTTCCTATATCTGCTTTCTATTCATGCCGAGGTCTTTGACATTGCAGATTGCTTCTCTCACATGGGGCATAAGGAAGCATTGGAGGGTAATATATTCAGTTACACCTGATATTGTTATAAAATTGTGTCCTTTAGACTTCTTTGAAGACAGAGAATATCTCTCAAGATTGACAAATTTCTCCCACTCTTCCTTTCTTCCAGCTAAGCTTTTGATTATTTCATCTGAGGGAGCTAGTGGAGACTATCCTGGCTGTACCGATTTGGCATACACTCGAGCTGTTTCAAGTAATGTTGATGTTCTTGACTGTCCCGTCCAAATGACAAAGGATGGGATACCTATTTGCTTGGGTTCTATAAACCTTATGGACCGTACAACCGTAGATCAATCATCTTTTAGCAACCTTTCTACTGATGTTCCTGAACTCGGAACAGGGAACGGGATATTCACCTTTAACCTCAACTGGAGCGAACTTCGGAGATTGACTCGTAAGTCGAAACCAACTTTCTTCCCTATATGCATCCTCAGCTCAACGGGGTTGATCTGAATCGTTTATTGCATTATTTTGAAATATGTGCACATAGCCAAAGAAGGCAGCTAATCTGCATCTAGTTTTGAACCTCTGGATTTCTTCTTTAAAAAAAAAAAAAAAACCTTGTTAAAGATTGTTCTAGAAACTCTAGTTTTACAGAAAGGAGTCTTCAGTAGTGCGTTGTAGCACTATGCTAAATGAAGTTTCATTTTTCCTTGAAAAAATTCTTTTGGTTGCATATGGTTTTTATGGAAAATGATATGAGAAAAAGAGCCAAAATAGGCGGTCACTTGTCAATTGAAAACCATTCTATAAAAATTGTTTTTGTTACCTAATCATTTCACATAAATTATGGTTTCTTGCTCGTGTGCATTATCACATACTCTTATCATAAAAGGATTCATTATACTACAAAGAGAGAATACAGCCCCTGCCCTTGAAAGGTTTTAATATGATTTATTTTGTTGCAGCGGCTATATCAAACCCATGGTCTAATTTCACATTGTACCGGAATCCTAAATTCAGAAATTCTGGAAAACTTATGTCCTTTTCTGACTTTCTGGCTTTAGCAAAGTACTCTCCTTCTGTTTCTGGTGTCTTGATCAGTATAGAGGTGAGTTTATGTGTTCTGTTTCAGATTCTTATCGCATAAGCAAAGCTTATTATATGTGACATTGGAAACTTAGTAAGTAATTTTTCCATGCGTTCGGACTTCCATTTGACATAGAGTAGCCTTGAGAACTTCTATTTTCATCAACTTCAGCCTTCAGGGTTCCTCTTAATAGTTACAGAATACTTAATGGAGGAGACAATGGCATATTTTCAACTCATGTTCAAATCCAGAGAGCAATATTTAGGATAAAGATGTGCTTCAACTACCATTTAATATACTATTTTTTCCTTTATCTGACCCCTTCCCCCACCGACTCATGTAAGGAATAGATTGTAGCTTCTCTGACTTGAAATCCATTATGTGATGAACATGAACTTTGAGACCCCAAAAAATGAAAATCATTTTTGCAGCTAAAAGTGTATACTTGCTTGCAAATTTCAACTCTATTCAATGTAAAACTAAAATTTAGCATGCATATATACCATTGAACACGATACTACCAAATAAAATTTTCATTTAGCGAAGTTATTGTTGTTTTTGGCACATGCACATATATTTAAAGTAAACGGCAAAGGTGATGGCAAAATTTTACCTCTGAGGTATTGCATGGATGATTATTTTAAATTTTAAGATAACAATATGTAAAGATGTAGAAAAGCGAAGTATATGGTCTGACATTTGGACTGGTTTGAGGAATCCTCAATTTTCAGAGTATCAGCTATTCATTTGATAAAGCTTATATTTTATAGCAATCTTTTTAAATATACCCTTGTAAAGAAGCCTAAATTCAGCTGAATGTGAAGTATATCATTCAAAAATAAAATTGTCGTGTAAGATAAATATATGATTTCCCACTTTCAAGGAAATTATTCCCTTTGCTTTGTCGTGCATCCTTAAAAACTTCATAGGATGCTTTATTATTTAGCTTTAATAAGTCTGGTCGCATATCGAGTTTTCATTTTGCATTGTTTGGGAAGCATATATAATCTGTACATATTAAAAGCACATGCCTGTCTGAATAGGCCAAAAGGATTGATCTCCAAGTTGTTTGGTTTTTCCTTGCAGCATGCAGCCTATCTCGCAGGAAAACAGGGATTAAACGTGGTTGATGTAGTGCTAAAATCCTTGAATGAAGCCGGTTACAATGATCAGACAATAAAGAAAGTGATGATTCAATCCACTGACAGCTCAGTTCTTGAAAAATTTAAGGAGAAAAGAAATTACGAGCTTGTTTACATGGTGAATGAGAATATTCGTGATGTCCAGAAATCAACCATCATGAAGATCAAGGAGTTTGCCAAATCTGTGGTGATCAGCAAAAATTCTGTCTACCCTGCTGATAAGGCATTTCTTACTAGTACCAGTGACGTGGTGCCAAAACTACAGGCATGCAATCTCTCCGTCTATGTGCAACTCTTCAGTAACGAGTTCGCATCTCAAGCATGGGACTTCTTTGCAGATGCTTACCTGGAAATAAATACATATGTTAATGCAATTGGCATTAATGGTCTCGTGACAGATTTCCCCGCAACAGCAGCTAAATACAGACGTAAGTTTACATATGATTTCCATTTACGTGTAAATGTGCCATTCTTTTACCATTTACAAACCGTTATATTTGAGTTCTATTCACAGTTTTCATGAAGTACTGGATGGATATTGTCCTCAAGATGCAAGATTTTTTCACAAGCCATAATGAACATCTGATGTCTTGGTAATTCAACAGGGAACCGGTGTTTGGGTTATAAAGATATTCCCCCGTACATGAGAAGTGTCCAGCCTGGTGAACTCTTCAATTTCATGGTTTCTGCGCCACCAGCCGAGGCTCCCTACCCAGTCCTTTTGGATGGTGATGTGGTCGAGCCACCTCTACCACCTGTTGCAGCAAAACATTTAGCAGCTGGCAGTAAGAATGGGTCTCCAGCAGCATCTACAAGAACTTATTTGTGCAGTGTTTCTCTTCTCCTCAGTGCTATTATGCTGTCCTAAAATCAATTGTGATACCATTTTGTGTTCTTCGCATTACATTCAAGTGGTTGAGCTTTTCACATTGTATCAATACACAGCTTTAATCCCTGGGTAATAAAATTATTATTTGCTCTCAAATCTTTGCTACTGAGTATTTTGTTTAATTTTTAATTCTTGACAATATGTTTATTGACATAGAAATCCGGTTGGACTCTTCAATCAATATAAATACATGTTTCTCTATGATTTTATGTAAAAACAAGAAGCAATTAGTTAGTATGGCCACCCTCCGTGACTGTGAGGGAAACGAACATTCTCACTCTTGACAATCAAGTTAGAATCATATGAACGCTAGATAAACAAAACAAAATGTGTTATATTAGAGCGGGATGGCCTTGTATGTATAAATATGAATTGATGTAGTAGGTCGAGAAGGTAGATCAATGTCAAGTCAAGTAATATTTAACATCAACTATCATTCACGTGTTATTTTACATTCATTTTCATGTCCTTTCACTTGAGAGTAATGTTATTCAGACTTTGCACCCGTCTAAGTGACAACTAAATGATATTAAATAATAGATTTATTTAAGTATAAAGTCAAACGATTCATTTAATTAAATCTTTCAAGAGCAACCATTTAAATTGATGCTTTAATACTATTGATGTTAGATGATATTTTACACCAAATTAATTCTATTACCAAGATGATTATTACATTTACCGACCCAGCATTCCGTCCTCCGAGGTAAACATGGAGGCCCGCCCATAGTGGTATTTTATGATGCTTGGACCTTGGTCTGAAATTTGGAAGATTAGAGACAATTGTGTCGAGTAATAGAAGTTAAGTATAAAAGAATAAATGATATAAAAGTTGGAGACCACCCTAATAATTTTCCCGTTTAAGAAAAATTCGCCAACTAAAGCTTTTGAACTCAGATACGATTTTGAGCTCAGAATTCAGAAAATCCTGGGCCATTGCATTCCAATGGAAACTGCTTTCCGTCCAATTTCATACACTATCCTCTTTTGCGGCACAAAAAACAGTAATAAATTGCACTATCAAGTGCCCGCTAAATATCTCAGTACTAGTTCTCTACCTTCACTCTCTCTCACTTTTCCCAGTAAGTATGCCATCGATTTTGGGAGGAAAACCAAAAGGAGGTTGCGGTTTAATGGGTTCATTAGTGCCTCTTCCAGCAGCTTTGAACGAGACCCATCTCAGCAACTCGCCGTTCTTCTTGAAGTTGAAGGGTCTCTCATCCTTTTTTTTATTTATTTTTATTTTTTTATAGTTGCGTAATTTTATCGGCTGTGTGTGTTTATGCTGCTTTTGTGTAATTTAACTTTTTGTATTTTTGTTTGTTCTATCTTTTTCCGTATACAGCGTTTGAATTAAGCCGTAGGATTAAAATGTTAACTGTTTCTTGGAGTATGTTTCAAAAATTTGTTAAGGGTCTGGGACTAAATGTGTATAGTGATTGGAATATTAGGGCCGTAACCCGGGAAAACTATTTCACTCAATAGTGTTAATTTTTACCAGCTCTAAATCCCAAATGCAAGACTTCTATTATATTGCTGCCAAAAGCAGACTAAACTGCAGCAAACTGTTGTATTTGGATTCAGATGGCAATATGAATTGCAATTTGACCTGAATTTACTTTGAAGTTTGGAGGAAGGTTCAACTATGTAGATATCTATTATACACCAATCACCATCGTTTCTCAATTTTCCAATGCACTGTGGGGGAACTTATAGTAGAATGTTCTGTGGAAACTGCAGTTCTCTGTTTTAGATACCGTTAGACCACTAGAAGTCTTTTATTTACTGTTGGTGTTGATATAGATACTTGTTAACAGTCGCATCTGCATCCTGACACATTACTATAACTTTACTATTGCTTGTGGATTTACTAGAAATTTCCTTTTCTTCAGGGTTCTAATGGATGTCTATCGCTTGGGCAATCGCCAAGCCTTCAATGTAGGTGAGGCATACCCTTTAAATTATATGTCTCACTATCATGTCATCAATTTATTTTAATGACTAATAAATTGGGAGTTACATCATTACGAGTCTCACGTTTCTTTAATTGGCAAATTCAGCTTTTCGAAAGCTGGGATTAGACTGTGCAAATTGGACTGAACCGGTCTATCTAGACCTTGGAAGGTATGATGTTTTATCAATTATCCATGCATGTAGTTGACTTTAGATATTTGTGTTTTTGAGGCTTTATTGCTCATTATTCAAAATTCAGTTTGATGTAATTTTTCTCTTTTCATTAGAATGGATAAAACAAGAACACGTGTAGTTAGTGTAAACTGAGATAAATTAAAGGAATGCACTAGTTGGGGCATATTGTGTGTATACCTAAAGAGCGCTCATCAAGAAGAGTTGACGAATATCGATTATTGTGGTTACACTGTATCTGTTTTTGCTGGATCTTTCAATTGATATAAGATTGGATTAAACAGAGTGGCGAAAAATAATTTATGCAGCTGCCTTTTTTTTGGGGCAGTTGCATTCTTGTCCTTCTCAATCAAAGTGACGCCTAAAATATTGACTTTCTCTGCCCTTGTAAAGTCATGGCTCCAGAATTCACTTCATTTGAAAGAACCACGGAAAAATGTAAAAGATATCCGCTGAATGATTGAAGTAGTAATGCTTTTATTCCAATAATTAAATTTGGAAACCTTTTCAGTTGTTTCTTCTTGTTTTGGTTTGAGTGTAAAGGATCAGGAATAAATTTATTTTACCCATCTCTTTTACTGAAAGAGGATGGAAGAAAAACGAGAAAAGAAAGAACTAGTATATAAATGAAGAAACAAGTAGAATTTGACAGCATAAAAGAAATCCAGGCTAGAAATCAATGAGATAATAAGTCATTATATCGTGTACAACTTTATATTCTTCTCCAAAATCTAATTACATTCATGTTTGGTGCTTTTCCTCTTCCTTTACCTGGCTACAAGTTGTGGGTAAATAAATGTAATAATTGCTGCATTTTATATTTTGCCTTTAAACTCTCTCCACCATTTTTAGGGCCTGTTTGAGCCCCATTTTGGTGTAAAATGCATTTTGATGCAGGATGAGGAATGATTCTTGAAGAATAATTAGAACTAGCAAAATAGCACAACTAGTAAGTAGAATTCCAGCGAGAAAAAGAAGAAGGCAGCAAGAAGGGGGAAAGGGCCGGAGAGAAAGGGGGGAGAAAACCAGAGAAGAAGTAGAAATTAGGGGAAATGGGAGAAGGAGGAAACCATAGGCAACAACCCAAGTATTCTATTCTTTAATTCATCAACTGTCTCAAATACGCAACAAAACAGAAATAAATAACAAAACAAAAACTCTAAAGAGAAGGGTTTGGGCCAAACCCGCTTAACAAGCCCAATAACAGAAATATAACTAATAGTCCAAATAGAAAATAAATAGTAAATAGATGTCCGCATCAACTCTCTCGGGGTGGGAGAAAAACTCGACCCCGTCGAGTGGATAAATCAAAATGTTGCAATGAATCTGATGCTAAAGGCTCCAAGTCATGTCATGGGGGACGATCTTTCTGACGAACCAAATATCAAAATTCCACAAATGATGACAATGCCAATTGCAAATTACTAGCAAAAACATGAGCTGACCAAGATAACTTAGGCGAATGAGAATTTTGCTGACTCTTATAAAGTTCCAATAAATTTGGCTCACGCCGCTGAAATCTCTTTTTGGGAATCCATGTACCGTCAGAATCAAGTCGATCCATCCAACGAACAAGAAAGCACTAAATCTCTCTATCATTGGTCAACACAAGCTGTTCATCCAAAATAACATCAATTTTATTTTTGTGTGCTGTGATAGGTGGGATTGAAGCAAACATGGCAAAAGATTCAGTGTGGGAATTCTCATGTGGGAGTAGAAACGGGTCATCAGAGGGGCTAAAATAGCCGTTGTAAGCATTGAAGTCCGTAACAAATAAAATAGGGTGGTGGTCATAATGTGATAAAAGGTCATTGACATAGGCATTTTGACCAACATGCTTTGAAATTTTAAAAAGACCAGCATTACACGCTTGCAATATAACATAATCCTCAATATTAAATTCAAAGTATTGTTTATACCAATCAACTTGAGATTTATATAATGCTTTACTTGCTTCAAATTGTTTATTGATCTCAATATGCAAACTATGAAAATGTGATACAACTACGTCAACTGATATAGACACACAAGCATGTGGGTGCATGAGAATAAGGTCTAGAGGTTTCAAAGGTTCACAACCAAGAATAATTTCAAAGGGTTTTAGACCTAAAGATCAGTTCACAGGATCGTTATATGCAATTTAAACAGTTGGAAGGATCAAGTCCTAATTCCCAAGATTTTTCTGGACTAGATACTGTAATAAATTGTCAGGATTTTGGTTAGCACTTTTGTTTTGACCATCAATTTGAGGTTGGTCAGTGGTGGATAATTTTGCCTTAGTGTTAACCACATGCGACTGGATTTTCCAAGGGTGACTGGTGACATCATCAAGCTCTTTAACTTGAGTAAGGGTATGACATATAACATTTAATCGAGAATTGTCGGAGATAAGGGATATAGTATCCAAAGTCTCGAGAAGAGTCTGGATTCCACCTAAGGAAGTGTCCTCACTATCATCCAAGTCATCAAAATCTTCAAGTTTAGGTTCATAGACTAGATCTTCTAACGGCTCCTCTATTACATTCTTTCGTTCTTCCATGACTAAAGTTCGATTAGGACATTTAGAAGAAATGTGACCAAAGTCTTTACAGTTGAGGCACAACAAGTGAGAAGAAGACCTTGGAGTTTCAGAAATTCTACCCTGATTTTTCAAGATTAGAGAACCATTAGAAGGGGGAGGTCCTAGAAGGGACTTAACGGTAGGAGGTGGAGCCAATGAAGCCAAATGATGATTATAAAAAATTTTATCCTTATTTTTCAAAATTGGAGGAATATCAGACGGGGGAGGTCCTGAAGGGACTTAACGGGAGGAATTGGAGCCAATAACACCGAAGGATGATTGTCAATATGCTTTCTACATGGAAAAGAAGATCTTCGACTATCACGACCTTTACAATTATTTTTCCAAATAGGAGGAACATTAGACGGACGGTTTTATGATAGACTTATGATGAGGCGACGCTAATGAGATGGGTGAGCGACGATGACCACGCTTTTCATATGGAGTACT